CAAAAATGTTTCAGGTTTGAATTTGGAAGGTAAATTTTTAAGCTCCTAAACCACTGAATCAACCTCTAGTCTTGTGTTCAAGAGATTCAGAATCTCTCTCTTCATATATAGATAAAAAAAAAACATTAATGTCTTACCTACACAATGTAATTACCGTGTATAAAAGAATTTCAAATTAGATAAAATTATCTTTTTTGTTATTTCTCTAATAGTAATTAGAATCTTAAAATTAATTAAAGTTTGAACAATTAAACCTTTTTATATTTAAAAAATATAAAAACTCCTAAATGTAGCAAGTAGAAATGGAATTTGATCATTTTGGTTTCACCAGAGTAGGTGAACATTAAAAGTAAATAAATAAGTACTATCTTGGTTACATCTTTAACACGTGCTACCCTATGTTCTTTCCTAGTTGTATTATATTTTCAAATAGTAAATTTATATAACCAACCACACTCATTATTTCTGTGTTGAATTAACTTTTTATTCTATAACGCCCTCCTTCAAGCTAGATGATATGAAGATACTCTTCATCCCAAAAAAAATGGATTATAAGATTTTTACAGAATTTAAGTGTCTCTTTAAAATAAGAAGACTAATTTGAGGAAACTATGTATTTTCCTATAATTAAACCTTAAGAAGATTGTCAAAAGAAAAGTATAATATACAGTAGTACATTTTCTTTTAGAAGAAACATTATACTCTTGAAGGTACAAAATGCATAAACAAAACAAAAAAACTTATTCGAATGTACAAAGAATTAATGAACACGTTATTAGCACAATTGTTCTACTATTGAAGGATTGAAACAAAGTAAATATAAAGAAGGTAAAATATTTGTGTTTATTTTTCTCTCGGGAACAAGGTAAATTACTATATAATCTATTTTATATTTTACTTTTGATTATGCATCATTAGTTTTCCTACCATCTCAAAGTCATATGAGTCCAGCAAGTTGCTTTTACTTTAATTTGAGCAAACTTTTAATTTGATCACTTATATATTTAAAAAGAAAAGTTAGTATTGTAAGTTAATAATTTGTAAAGAAATTGTTCTTTATGATCTTGTTTTATTAAAAGATAAATTATTGAGTTATGTGGTATATACATACTGATTGGATCATCATTATTGGTTACTTTTGTACCTCTTGATATTTCTTTATATAAACATTTACTTGTTGAGTTATCAATATATTATTTGTACTAATAAAGTTTGTTTTGTGGATATTTTAAAATGATTAGTAAATTATGTTAATCTTCATAACAATATTGAGATAGAATGTTAAAAGGTTTTAATTTATTTTAACTTGGGACTTTTATATGATTCCAACATGTTGCTCTAATTAATTGATTTTGTTCATTTTTCTTATGCTTTAAGTCAAATTCAGATTATATTTATGGTTTTCGATAATTTGGTAACGTATTTGGTTTATCAAGACATTGATTGAGGGTAAGACGGTGAATTCAAGTTTCACCGCCCCAAGTGGGTAAGACATTGTGTTAAAGTCTCGGTGCACCATGATAATAAGAAGTTGGGTTCAAGTCTTATTGATTTATGACCAAAGAACGTCTTTATATGGGTAAGACATTGGGTTTAAGTCCTAATGCACTATAGTGGTGATATGATGATGACTAACATAAAGTTGTATACTTTTGACTGAAAGTCATGAAATTTGCCCAATTAATTTGCTCCATTCTCTTATGTGAATGTGGTAGCAATACATAATATGTCTGAAAAATGACAAGTGGTTGATGTATGAATATGGGTGTGGTAAAATATTAGTGGTCATCATTGTGGTAATTAAAAGGAAGAACATTATGAGTTCTTAAGATGGTCCTTCAAATGTGAAGGTAATTTTGTCCATTAAATTGGTAAGAAAGGTTATTGGACACATTTTTTCTTAAGATGCTCCGTCAAACGTGAAGGTAATTTTTATCCATTAAAGTGGTATGAAAAGTTATATGTCACATTGTTGTTGGTGCAACCCAATTTAAAAAGTTTTGTAAATCCTCCATCAAAATAAAGGAATACAAAGTGGATACACTTGGTACATTTGACCTCTTAAAGTGATGCTGAGATGAGTCACATAACAAATACATGAGAATCTCATGTCACATAACTTAACTCAGGATAACCACTCGAATTTAGTGGACAAGCAATGTTGCCAACTAAGGGTGTGTAGTGTTTGAGAGAGAGGGAGAGTGAATGTTTAAGAGTAGGAATAGTGGTTTGAACGAAATTGAATTTGGAAATTGGTAGCTTGTAGAGTAAAATCCGACCTATATAGCCAAAATTGAACCACATATGATCAAAATAAGTTAGAGGGAGCGTTAGTTCAGTTGCGCTGCCGTGGGGCGGTGGCGCAACTTGGCATTGCTCAATCAGTACTGAAGTCATTTTCGTTTGGTAAAGTAATACACAAAGTAGTTAGTATTAATATATCTAATGACTTTGAATGTGTGGCTGATGCACAAAGTAGGTGTGGCTTATATATATCAATATTACCTTATATATAAGCCAACAACAAAAAGGACTAACGCTGCAGTACTTAATTGTACATTATGTTATGTGACTTGTATTATTTATATTTTATCCATATTTACCTTTATTTTTCCTTATCATCTCTATTTTGGTACATTACTTCACTTCAATTAGACAATATAAGAAAGCAAGGGCTTTTCTAAAAGGCTCCATGCATAATAACATAGCTTTTATCTCAGCTATCATGTATGATAACACAACCGTTGGTGCCCTTTCGAGCCGAGAGATAAGGGATTGAAATTCATTGGACTAGACATGTCTTCTCCATGATCTCAGGAAAATGAAAATAAATTCTCAAAGATCCATAAACAAATCTGTAAAGTTGTCTATAAATGTAAAATCATATATAACCCCTTATTTTGAGGCAACTATTCCATAGCCTCTTAGTACCTTATATATAAGCCAACAAAAAAAGGACTAACGCTGCAGTACTTAATTGTACATTATGTTATGTGAGTTGTATTATTTATATGTCTAATATTGATATCAATGACTTAGGTTTAATTAATTGAGAGCTATAACATTAATTTATGTAGAGTTGGAAAATAGGCAATGAATTGAAGGCTATAACAATAATCAATGGTGGCTATTTTGAAAGAAATTGGCTACAATTGCAATTCAAAATTAGGCCAAAAAAGTAAAAAAAAACTAACAATCCAAGTCTCCCAAAATTAGCTAATTCATGTGTGCTACAAAGGCAAGCATATGAATTGTGCTTATTCACCCTAAATTTAAGCCATCCAATGCATTAATTTGTTCCGTTGAAATTTGTCATGATCCCTAATTCTTTGTTATGCCTTCCTCTCCAGGTGGATGACTTTCTAACAATAACACACTTATGGCATGGACCAAATACAAATGGAGAAAGCAATTTGAAATACAAATGGAGAAAGAAAATTGAAAAAGTTAGAGTGGTATTTAACTGTTGCATAAAAGTCACTTCCTTTTTATGGGTTTGAACGAAACTTTCCTCCTGAATCATATTTTATTTTATTTTTTCTGAAAGGTACAAATGTACTGCTAAAGAAGCACCAACATCCATGTGAAAAAAAAATCTGCTTGAAAAAATGAAAGTTAGATAACTGTCAACCGTTGCAAGATCAAGAGAAACCCTTTTAGGATCTATCATTAATATTTTTAGCATTGTTAGTAGTGTAATTTTCAACTAAAAATTGTGTGAATTACAATTTTCATTTGATGGCAGAGATTATTTTTTTTGGTTAATTCTCAAAATTACAACTGTTGATGATTCCTTCCCATGTAGTGATTTTTTTATGAAATCAATGCATATCAATTGTTGAAACATTCAGGTGTAGTTATTTTGGTTGTCATACGAACCTAACTATGCACTAGCTATATCTTTTTTATGGTACTAATGCATTATTAACTTGATGCTAATACAATTTGTAATGATGAAAAATTTAAGGTAAGATATATCTTTTGGTCCATTTTTTTTTAATAATAAATATTGCATATTTGAACACATTAAAAATCAAATTGTTGGGCTTATACCACGTGCATCGCACGGGCATCACTTTCTAGTATACAAGACAAGAATATGAAAGTTTTCAAGTGGTTGTTGTTACTTGCGGACCAATGTCAATTTCAGAATTTTCATTAAAGAAATTCAAGAATGTCTAGGGTTTGAATTTGGAAATTTTGAACTCCTAAACCACTGAGTCAATCTCTAGTCTTGTGTTCAATGGATTCAAAATTTCTTTCTCCCAATATATATACACCTTACATACCCAAATGTAATTACCATAAATGAAATGATCATCCTTTTTTAATCATTTATAAAAGGATTTCGCATTAGATAAAATTATATTTTTTTGTTATTTCTCTAATCATAACTAGAATCTTAAAATTAATTAAAGTTTGAACAATTAGATCTTTTTATATTTTAAAAAAAAAAACTCCTAAATGTAGCAAGTAGGAATGGAATTTGATCATTTTGGTTTCACCACAATAAGTGAACATTAAAAGTAAATAAATAAGTACTATATTGGTACATCTTTAACACGTGCTACCCTATGTTCTTTTCTAGTTTTGTATTATATTTTCAAAATTCAAATAATAAATTTATATTACCAACCACGCTCATCATTTGTGTTGAATTAACTTTTTATTCTTCAACGCCCTCCTTCAAGCTAGGTGGTATGAAGTAGAATGTATTATAAGATTTTTGCAGAGTTTAAGTGTCTTTTTAAAATAAGAGGACTAATTTGAGGAGACTTTATGTATTTTCCTATCATTAAATTAAACCTTAAGAAGGTTGTCAAAAGAGAAGTATAATATATAGTAGTACATTTTCTTTTAGAAGAAACATTATACTCTTAAAGGTGCAAAATGCATAAACAAAACTAAAAAGGTTATTCGGATGTACAAAGAACTAATATCAAGCAATTGAATAAGAAAGCCAAGATATAGTTAGGAATCCTAGCCAAATCCTCGAACACTCAGACTTGGTATAGAAAGCTAAGCCCGTGAGTGAATATAGCAGCAAAAGCATTCATTCGAGTTTTAGACAAAGACAAGTCAATTTTTAAATCTCCATCAAAGTCCTTAGATTTACTAAGAGACATCAAAATTTCACCATCATCATTGTCAAGAGAAATGAATTCTAACTTCGCGGCCCTTCCCCATCCGAAATCAGCAGCATACAAGTCAAGTTTTGGCGATCCAGCAATTGAAAAAAATTGAATTAGGTCTACGTTGTCCAACGCTTTTAACCAATTACCATTAAGGACCCATTCTTCATCCTTCATTTTTTTTTGAATGACTTCTCTAATTAATTCCACCGCAATTATAAAGCCTTCCTTTCCAACTAAGTCAGCATGCCTTGTACTTGTGACACACCCAACTATGCCTTGTATTTTATTTTTTTTATATATTTTTTTTAAAATAAATTATTTTTTAAAAAAATAAATATTCTTATTTTCTTTATCTTGTAGTTAAATTAAGTTCATACACTTTTTTTGCCTTGTATCTAAACTTCTTTTTTTAACCTTCATTCATTGTTTTTTCTATTGATTTTATTTACTCTTTTAAAAAAATATTCTTATTTCTTTATCTTGTATTAAAAAAAATTACACATAGTTTTTTAAAATAATTAAATGTGAAAACAAAAGAAATTAATGAAAGAAAAAAAAAGTTTAAAGTGAAAAAGAAGTTAAAATAAATATTTTACAAAAAAAAAATGAAAATAATTAAATATAGGGAAAAAGTCAAAATGCCCTTAAACTATGTGAAAAGAATAAAAATATCATCCGTTTGTAGTTTGGCTAAAAAATACGCTTGTCGTCAATACTTTGATTCAAAAATGTCCTTGCAATCAATACTTTGGTCCAGAAATGACCCTATAGTTACTAAATGGTCAAAATTGTCCTTTTCCGAATAAATATATTATTTTTTCTTTTTGAACACATCTTCTTCCTAATTAAATATTATTAAAGAAAATTGTTCTTGTTTTCTTTCTTTTAAATCACTTTAACCAATAAAAATGTTGGAGATATTTTTTTCTTCTTAATCTCATTTTATCAATTAAAATAAAAGAACTGCATGTACCCTTTCGACAGATAATGTATGTCATATATATAAGATCATAGTATATCTATCATTAATTTATATTTATATATCGATAAAAAATAATTATAATAAAATAAGAAATATTTTCATTTTTTTTCTGAATTGAAGTAAGATAAACATTTGCTAATCTAAAAGAAAACATTATTAGAAAAAGAATGTGTTAAAAAGAAAATAAATAATATATTTATTTGGAAAATGAGCATTGTTAACCCATTAAATAACAATAAGGACATTTTTGCACCAAAGTATTGACGACAATGACATTTTTGGACCAAACTACAAACGGGTGACATTTTTTTTCTTTCGCATAGCTTAAGGGCATTTTTGACCATTTTTCCTTAAATATATATAAATTTTAATATCAATAAATATGTGTACTAACTAATTATAAAGTTACCAATTAAAAATGACATGTGTCCAATTTATTCATTCATCAGTTGTCTTCAAAAGAGTGTGCACACTCTCTATGTCACGTCAACATTTATGGTGTATTTATTTCATTTTAAGTTAGTTTAGGGGGTTAAGTTTAAGTTTAGTAGAGTATAAAACGACCCATTCTCAATCTTTGAGGTACGAACATGTATTGATAACCTTTGAAACACTACTTTTATAGTTTTAGGCATGCTTTCTATTAAAACATATATTTAAGAGATTTGATATTATTATTTAATAATATTTTTTCTTTTTCCTATTCAAATATAACTATATATTCGACTACATTATAATGACATGTTGAATAACTAAATTCATGAACCGCAAGGAGAAAAATCAAATCAAACTTATTTTGGTTCGAATTGAAAAATCAAAAATCCCAATTGAAAAATGTAAAATTGAACTGAGAAATCGAATGTTCAACTTTACTTGCTACAAAATACCAAGCATTCATTCGCATTTCAGGCAAACACAAGCTAATTTCTAAATCTCCATCTGAATTTCTAGACTTATTGAGGGATTCGTTACCACAGTCGATAGAAAGGGACTTTAAAATTTTGATACAAATGATTTGATTTGATATTTAAAAAATTCGAACTAACCGAGTTCTTGTTCACCCATATTGTATTAATCTTCTACCCTTATACGAATTTCATATCTTCTTATCCAAGGTCATATCCCTGATAATATATCATAAAGAACTAACATAAACCAATTGAATAATAAAGTCTTGGATGACATGATGATCAAGATGCACCAATAACGATTTGAAAAGGGATTCTTATTTGGAGTAGTATTGTAATGACCCTAAAGGTCATTTTAGAAAATTTTCATAAAATGACCGTTTTACCCCTCTCGATAGTTGCCCCGAGTCCTAATTGTTGTATTTTCGAAGTTGGTTTGAAGGAAAATTGATGAAAAGTTGAGTTTTTGGAAAGTTGAGTTTTTAAGAGTTAAAGTTTGGTTAAAAGTTCTATTTCGAGTCATTTGGAGTTTCGAGACTCGAATCGGATTTCCGTCGATTCCAGCGGTTTTAGAATGTCGAAACGGGCCTATGAGAATTTACGGAGTCGAATTTGGAGTTAAAATGAAGATTTGAGGTCCTAAGTTGCAAAAATTGTGAAATTTTGATTAAGAGTTAACTTTTGTCAACAAACGAGGTTCCGGTGCTCGAAATGGAATTCCGAGGGCACCGTTGGATTCAGGGGGTGATTCTAAGTCTAGAATGAATCTTGGTTGAATTTTTAGAGGCCCCGAGTGCGTTTCGAGTTTTTGAGCCTAAAGTTAGGTTCTTGACGCCTTATCGGATACCGGGTCAAGGAGACCTCGAATTCAAATTCCGACAATTTCATTGAGTCCGAAATGTCATTTTCAAGCTAGTAGCATATTTGGTTTGTGTTCGGAAGTGCCAAATGAGTTTTGGGTGAGCTTTTAAGCTTCTTGGATACTTTGCCACTATTTCAGCAAATTGTGGCAACTAAAGGGTTCATTATTAGTTTTAAAGGTCGAAAAATTATTCCAAAGGTTCTGAAATTTTGAGCATGAATTATAGGACTTATCTGCAAATTTTGGTGCATTTTCGCTAACCCGAGATTGGACTTTTATCACAAATAAGAAATAATTGTTTACCGAGTAGAAATGATATTTGACTGGGCAAACGAGCATGAAATTGAGCTCCAATTGAACGAGCAGGTCTGTATCATTATTTAAGACATTTACAAAAAAGAATCGGGTCATTTCACTATCGTATGAGGAAATTACGGCATTTTTAGTGAAAGATTAACTGCTGTTTTTCTGGTGCATAACAGCCATGTACTGTTATAAAAATCTCAGACTGTGTTCATTTGGTATTTTGAGCATATCGGGAGTTCTAGAGATCAGAATGGAGTGATTCTTACGGGTTTCCTCTTGAATTAATATGAGAGTTAGTATTCAATCTTCAATTCGACATTTTCTCATAATTTCTTTATCTGGTTTTTTTTTCCTATCCGTAAACCTCTTGGGAAAAATTGGGGTTTTATCGATTTGGACTCCCTTTTTGATGAAAAAGGTATATTTACGATCCTTATGTTATGGGTAAACTGATTTTAACATAAAATTATTGATTCATCGATTATTTTCATCATATTAACCGCGTACAATTTTGACTTTCCCGGTAAAGTTAAAATTTGATAAATTGAGAATTTCAAGGTCGATCTTAACTCCGATTTTTATGAAATTTTATATTTGAACTTATCTAAGCATGGGTAAGATGTTTTTCAAGAAATATTTCATTTTCGAGTCGGGGTTTCGGATCCGAATATTTTAGGTTTCTTCAAGAACATGGATTTTCCTTCAAATTGAGTTTGTGAATTGATTTCAACTCTGTTTTCAAATTGGTTTTCACCATTAGCTTCCAAATACTTTAAGGATCATTTTACATCAAAAATTTCCAGATTTGGGTATCGTTTTCCGGTATGAGACTTTTGGACCGTTTTGCCCTTTTCCCCTAAATTTCTTGATTTTGGTGTCATTGGACTCGAATTGTGATTGTGAATAATTGTTTGAATAGATTATCGTGATCCAGATTATACTCGGAAAGGAAAGGCTCAAGTCAAGTAACTTTTGGAGTTCGTTTTAAGGCAAGTGGCTTCCAAACTTTGTAAAACTCTTAAACTACGCATGACTACTTTCCTAATTGTGTTGGGGAGTAATGGGGATTGAGGATGGGTTTTATTTGTTGATTGAAATTGTTGTAAATGAAATATGGGAAATAAAACGAGCTAAATGTGTTATATGTGACTTGAATTTGTTGAATAAGTCATGTGACAACCGATATTGAGGGGATAGAAGAGCATGAGTAGGCTATGATTGATACAGACATTGATGTTGAGACAAATAATGTGTAATATTATGATGTGGCCGTGATATGGTTGTGATTGAGACAAGTGATGTGTAATACTATGATGTGGCCGTGATATGGTTGTGATTGAGACAGGTGATGTGTAATACTATGATGTGGTCGTGATATGGTTGTGATTGAGACAGGTGATGTGTAATACTATGATGTGGTCGTGATATGGTTGTGATTGAGACAGATGATGTGTAATACTATGATTGTGATTGATGACATGTGCATATTTATTATTCATCCCATGTGTGAACTATCTGTTGCATGAGTTCTGAGACACTGATATGAGGATGGATGGATATGAGACACAGTTGAGACTAGCTCCGGCTAGAGATATATGAGATGGACTAGCTCCGGCTAGCGATTTGGATGCCGATGGGATCTGGTTCCGGCGGTGATACATGGTCCATGTGTGGCCCCCATGGGTTCTGATTTGAGTATTCAGCGTGGACTGATTACGTCAACAGATGTGTATCGTAGGACAGACATGCATCACGACTACATGACATCATTATTGCATTTTGCATCACATTTGCCTTATCTTTGTCTGTGATGTGTGGATTGTATCGATTTACCCTTCTTATGTGGAATTTGATCTACTTGCTCTTATTTGTTGATCTGAGGTTGATGAGGATATACTGTTGGTTCTGGCTGTTGAATATGATCTGTTTAGTATGGGTTGGTTGGTTTGCTGCTAGATTGAAGTTTCGGTGGTTTGGTTGGGATTGAAAGGAGTTGTTTGTAGCTGCTAGTTTTGCTTAATTTAGAGTTACTTGCGAGTACCTGTGGTTTTCGGTACTCACCCTTGCTTCTACACAATTGTGTAGATTGACAGCTCTCTCAGATTCGGCTTAGTAGTTTCTTTAGCAGATTGAGCTTCGGGACATACTCGAGAGGTAGCGGTTCATTCCAGACGTGCCCTTGAGTTATCTTTACTTTCAGTTTTGTTCTATTCGAGAACTATACTCTGAGACTTGTATATTTTTATTCGAATTCTATATTTAGAGGTTTGTACATGTGACAACCAAATTCTGGGTAGTGTTGAGTCTTAATTAAAGTGTTCCGCTTATTTATTATCTTTTATTCTCGTATTTCTACTTCTCTATCGTCGTGGTTTAGTTAGGCTGACGTGTCCGATGGAAAATGGACACGTGCCATCACATCCGGATTTGGGGTGTTACAAGTATTACAACTACAATTTGAAGTATTTCATCTATGACACAACTAGAGGATAGTCTTTATGTCTATTTTTTTTTGGTAGGGGTCCTTTCCAAATCCTCGAACACTCAGACTTGGTATAGAAAGTTAAGCTCGTGAGTGAATATAGCAGCAAAAACATTCATTTGAGTTTTAGACAAAGACAAACCAATCTCTAAATCTCCATCAAAGTCCTTAGATTTACTAATAGACATCGAAAATAACAGATACAGAATCTCCTGTCACATAACGTAACTCAGGATATCCGCTAGTATCTAGTGGACGAGCAACGTTTTCGGCTAAGGGCATATAGTGTTTGAGAGTGAGGGAGAGTGAATTTTTAAGAGGAGGAATAATGTTTTGAACGAAATCAGGTTTGGAAATGGGGAGCTTGTAGAATAGGATCCGCCGTATACGGTGGAACCCTAACCAAACAAGATCAAAATAAGTAAGAGGGAGTGTCACCTCCACTGCGCCGCCGGGAGGTGGCGCAACTTGACATTGCTCAATCACGGAGGCCATGTTAACTTTTAAGTTAATGTTATAATAATAATTGAGTTCATAATCAAATGTATATTTAGAGTTCAAACTATAATACTCTCTTGTCCCAATTTATGTGACACATTTCGTTTTTCGAGAGTCAAACAATTTAAGTTTGACCGAAAATTTGCTCGTGAAATCTTCAATTTTTTTAAAATGAAATTCATATATTTATAAACTACATAAAAAGTACTATAAGTCACAATAATTGATAATTCAAAATATTTAAAAGATATATGAAAAATTTACGGTCAAAAATAGATTTGTTTAAATCTCAAAATTCGAAATATGTCACATAAATTAAGACAGAAGAAGTACTTAAATTCACGTAAATTCATAAATAGACGTCTTAATCGGCCTTGGGAAATGTGTATGGTTGTAATGGGCATGTGGCTGATTTTGAATTATGGCAGACAATACGCACATCAAATCTGCCATGTTTTTTTTTTTTTTTTTTTCAAGACTAGAAATCATAATTCTAGATATTTTAGATCTCTTTAAAAAATTGAGGCAACAACACCATGTGAACAGATTTCAAAAAGCAAATTAATTTATTTATTTTTCGTCCAATAATTAATGCAATTTGAAAAAAATAAATATTAAATTAGATTTTGAACTTAACTTATTTCAGCGATCACACGGAAGTTTCTTCCCACTCATGCCTGGATGCGAATAGAGTTCCACTAGGGCATTTTTAATACACTTCTATATTTTAATCACATCTTGTGATTTGATATGAAGAATATTATAACAAATTTTTATTCTTAATAATTACGTAACTGATGACCTCAACATATGTCTTGTGCATATATTTTTATTGAAAATGATATAATACTACCATGAATTTCCTCTATTGTATTTTAAATTGACATGAGATGTATTTTTTACCTCATTTCCTGAGGAGTCAGAAAAGGAGGGGCTAAAATTTTTTGGTGAGGGTGGCAGATCACATGTGTCTAAAATTTATTTGACAAACTTTCTTAGGGGGAATTTAAAAAAAATCATACCTATATAATTTTCTCAAGAAAAGCATACATGACTAAATCTAACAAAAACCAACATGGTTGTGGTGCACTGGTGATAGTGTTTCACCCTTAACCAGAGATCTCGGGTTCGAGCCTTGGGTATGGAGAAAATCCTGTTGGAAGCGTCACCCCCAAATGGGCCCTGTAGAGCGCGATCTGAATTTAGTCGAAGCTCCAATGTGGGCTCCGAACATTGGGTGGAAAACCAAAAAAAAAGAAAAACTAAATCTACAAAAGAATTTATTGGCATGAAAACTCCAATTTTGACCCAAATCCAATTTATGAATTGAATTTTTATTTGACTATTTTAATTTTGGGTCTAGTAACCAAATCGAACTGAAAAGAAAAAACAAACTCATAAAGATAATGATATACAAAAGTGTATAAATTTTTTCATGAATTATTTTTAGATATACAAATGTAAACTGAAAAGTGTAGTTACGTGGTTGCAAAGTGTTACATTAGGCTGTTTATGTTTTTTTAACAAAAAAATATTTTATAACCTCAAAAAAAGAAAATATGAAAGAATTAACATTAAATAGTAACAATATCCAGATCATAATTAAAGGGATGGAAACTCATTAATGTAAAAATATTTACTATCCAAATAATTAAAGGTAACCTCTTCAAAAAATATAGGCAGTGAGTCATTTCTTAATACTATATAATTGTGCTTTATCATTTTCATTATCAAAAATACATTTTGAAAAAATCGTAACCAAAAAAAATAAAAATGGCAGCCTCTTTGTCTTTGTTTAAAGTTGTGTTTCTTCTTGTGCTATTTTTCATGGGCAATGCAGATATATCATCTCTTTACTTTATTCTTTTTTTACCAATCAAGAATGATAAGAGATAATAAAATATATTTTTTAAAAAAATTATATATCCTTTTTCAAATAATCACTCAATCAATCAAAATGCAGGTACGAAACTTCTCTGGCCGTAAATAAAAAAAAAAGTATATCGCGAATCAAAACTAGTTGAGAGAAGTTATGAACTTAACATCATTGGATATCTCTACCTTTAATTGACGCTCTTGAATCTAATCTATAGAGAGTATAAATCTTGTGTAGCGTGAATCTGAATTTGTAAAATTTATCATTCTCCTTTATTTATTTTATTAAAATTCTTACATGTATTTTATTTTATTTTATTTTAACAGAGGCAAATATTTGTCAAAAAGCAAGTAAAACATTCAAGGGACCATGTGTAGAACAGGCAAAGTGTACAAGTGCCTGCGAAAGTGAGGGCTTTCAATTTGGAGAGTGTAGTAACTCCATATGCTACTGCACAAAGCCATGTCCTCCCAATTAATTAATCTCCAATAATAAGTATTTTATTTTTTATTACTTCTTAATTATCATTGTATTTTTATGAGGCTCAAATAAATACATACATCTACTTTGATGATCAATCTACATCTATTTATAATTGTTGTTTATATAGTACGATGATATGTCATAGCTCTTCTCATGAAATGAGATGAATACTATGAATTGGGGGCACTAACTCATTTATTTATTTTACATTTCCTTTTTAAACTAATCATACATTTAATTAGATCGCAAATCAACACTAGTTGAAATTAGTTATGAACATAGATAAATTATGATGCATAAGATCTCTCAGATTATAAGTGTTTTGAATTATAAGTGTTTTACCACTCTAAATATTCGTACTTATGTGCCTATTTGTATTAGAGTATAAAACTTACAAATTTTAAATATTATTTTTAATATATGAGGCATAATTTATATTAGAAAATATATTAAAGAGATTTGACATTATTATTTAATAACATTTGTTCTTTTTTGCCATTCAAGTGTAATTATTCGATCACATTAATTATTTTATAATGGCATGTTAATAAATAGGGATGGGAATGGGGCGGTGTAGGGTGGGGGCGGTGCGGGTTGAGCTTAACCCGTAAAAATTTTAATTCGCCCCACCCCGCCCCGCATAACAACTCTTTTTTATTTTCAACCCTCCCCCCCCCCTCCGCATAGACCCGCCCCGCATAATTTTTTTAATATTTTCTTTTTCTAGTTATGTTTGATACTAAAAATAAATTCATTTTTTCATTAAGTTGTATTAATTTAATAGGATAGTGACTTAAAATTTTATTTTTTAGAGGTCAATTGAGAAACATGTAAGAAATTGTATTGTTTTTTATTGGACCGTTTTCATTTATTATCTTGAATATTTAGTAGCTTTAATGGAATTATTTTAATAAATAATGCTCTATCACTCTTATAACATGTAAAAAGTTAAGATTAAGTTTAAATCCACATAAAATCACATATACCCGCAACCCGTCCCGCCCCACATTAATTTTTTAAAAACCAACTTCAACCCGCCCCACCCCACATAGCCTTAAACCCACCCCGCCCCGCATCCGCCCCATTGCCATCCCTATTAATAACCAAATGGAACCAAAAAGAGAAAAACCAAATCAAACTTATTTTGGTTTGAATTGAAAAATTGAAAACAAAAACTCAAAAATCTGAACTTAAAAAAAAATGTAAAAATCAAACGCATGTTGTAATGAACTTGAATCCAGCGATAACTCTAACTCGTTTCTCAACTATATTAATTAGGCTAAAGATCAATTACAATTCCACCAAGTAAAGGCAACAACTCAAAAGGTAAAATTCCAAACAGAAATACATAAATATTGAAAGTAAGAGCTAGGATCGACTGAAGAAGGAGACGAGGAGCTAGACTTAGAGAAAACAGGATGAGAGATATAGACTTTGCCTAAGCATGATCATAATACACATAAACCTATTTTGCTCTCACAAGTCTCTATTTATCAAACCGAATCCCACACATAGCTACTTAATCCGGTGTTGGGCTGATTGTATTAGAGTATAATGTAAAGCTTATATATTTTTAAACATTATTTTTAATGTTTTAGGCATGATTTATATTAAAGTATATGTGTAAGAGATTTGACATTAAACCACACAACATCGAAGAACGTAAGAGAGAGTGTCAACTCTCCCGGAGGTGGCACAACTTGACATTGCTCAATCACCATTGCCATTGCCACCATAGTTTTTTGTGGCTAAAGAGTTTAATTATTTTATTTGGAACAAGGATGGGTTTTGGACTTTAGCTTATCAATATATATATATAGAAAATCAATGTGGGGGAACTTTTGGTTTTCGTTAGATATTTACCAAATTTTGATTTAAAGAAGAATAATTAAAGGGCAATTTAGTCATGCCATAATTTTTTCTATTAATAATAAATAAATTAAAAGAATTTTTACAACAAAATTAAAATAAGGGAGGTAATGTAATATTGTAAACCACAAGAAAGGTTAATGTAATGAGATCAAACCTGAAGAAATGTCTCTAATATTATTCCTATTATTAAAGAGATCATATTTATTATTTTCTCGGTCACCAACACCAATAATTTTAATGTGGGGGAGGGGGGGGACCCTTTCGTATTTAATTGTTGTGATGTCTAAAATAACTTTCTGCAGATATCATGTTACCTACATTAATTATTTGGTTGTGGACAGAAAATTAATGTTGGTCCACTGATTATATTGTGTGTTCTGAAAAATATGAGTATCTTTTAAAATATAATTTTTATTTTTAAAATAAAAAAAAATGACTTTTGAAAAATGAAATTGTGTTTGTCCATCGAATTATTGGTGATGGCCGGAAGCATATTTTAGTTTACAATATTGAGCTAGCTGGAATCATTTTAAAACTAGTTAAGTTGTTTGCGCTTCATGCGACCAATTATACTCTTTTTGTAAATTTATTGATATAGAAAAGGTTAAACAAATACATACATGTAACAAAAACTCTTAAACAACCCAATTTTTAAAATGAATATGAAGTTGAGGCATTTTAGTTTACAGAGTTCCAACTAATTTAAAGAATAATAAATTTTAGGTTTAGCAAATATAAAAATTATATTTGTATGTTATAGCTATAG